AGTGGGCGAGGGGCTAAACAAACTGCGGTGCATTTATGTCATGATTTCTATTCATGAACAAGAACCATCAACTAAAGGCTAGGGATTTAGCTTAGGGTTCGGTGGCCCGCCTGGCAAGCACAAGGATCCAAGTTCGATCCCCAGTACAAAAAACAAAACAAAACAAAAAACCAACAACTGAAATAGATCTCAATTGGATTATTCTATGTGGTATAAATCCAATCTTTAACAAATACATATTGTGTGATTCCTTTATGAACCACTCCTGAAATAGCAAAGTGATAGAGCCAGGGAACTGATTGGTAGTTGTCAGGGGTTAATGATTTTTCATTGGTGATTGAGGGGTATATGTGGCTATAAAGCATAGAGCTGTATGGAACTATACACACACACACACACACACACACACACACACACACACAGAAAAGTGCATGTGAAACAAATGGATACTCTGGATCCTACCAGTAGCCATTTCCCAATTGTGGTATTTTACTGAAGCTACAAAGATACTACTTCGGAGGGAGACTGGGTAAAGGGTCATAAAGATCTCCATTCCTTGCTACTTTCTGTGAATCTATATAATTATTTCATGATAAAGATTTTTAAAACTATATGGTAAAGGGCTGGGAATTTAGCTGGGTGATTCTACTGCCTGCCTTGCAAGCATAAGGTCCTGAGTTTGAACCCCGGTACAAAACCAAAACAAAACAAAAAAACCCAAAATAACTGTATAGTAAATAAAGCCAGATGATTAAAGGATGTTGAGAAATACTGACAGGATGAAGAACAAATCAGAATAACTCCATAAGATGAAAATAATCACATTAGCAGAACTGGATATGGGTGGACTTGGGGGCTGAAATGAGTTTGGGGAATGTTTAAAAGTGGAGGGCAGAGGTAAGGGCAAAAAATGAGAATCAAGACTTGTCATGTAGAGGTACAAGATCCCAACAATGAATGTAACTGTACTGTATCCCTAAAATGTACCAATAAACTCAATTGAAGCTGAAAAAAAAAAGTACCTTTAGGAAGAAAGAACAGCTTGATTTTCACTGCTGGGAGCAAGTGGTTATTATTAATTATAACAAGAAATGAAAGCTTATATGTTTGTATTCGTAATTTGAGTTTCTCTGTCAAGAATTTTCTTCGGACTGAAATTGTTGGTAAAAAATATTCTGAAAAAAGATGTGAAGCCTGAAAGAGTTGAGAAGTTGGAGTGAGAGGTCTAGACAGGTTTGATGGTTAGACTTACAAGAAGGGCAAATGCGCAAAGGAAGTCCTGGAGAAGCCAGACACACCCAGATGTGACAGGAAGCCTTGAGCCAGAAAAGGATTTCTAAATTTCAAAAGGCAGAAGCAAGCGCATCCCAGACAGAAGTCCTCAACAGGGACAGTTGGGACGGCTCTTGTTCGAGTTTACATGATTTGTGACTGAGGTGGTAGGCAGAACGTCAACTCAGGAAGAAGAACCTGGGATTCCGTCAGATCAGAAGTGCAAGAAGAGCCGTGATCAAGTCCCTTCAGGAGACCCAAGCAGTCTTCATGCAGTTATCTCAGCTATGTACATACTAAACTGTCACGTGTACACTGTGAATGTGTACAAATTTTACGTCAGCCATACCTCAAAAACTCGTGAAAAGGAAAAGAAAGAGCAGCTTGATGGCCGAGAAGATAGTGGAAGGCAGGATAATGGCTGCTAGCAATCGGGCAGCATGGGAAGGGGAGAAGCGTGTGGTGGGGGAGGGGACAGGGTATATTTTGCTCTTAGGATGTCCTGGGAAATTTATATTCTTCACCGCTTTTAGATTAATGTTAGATAATATGGCTGTATTTCTTTTTCTTTTCTTTTCTTTCTTTCTTTTCTTTTTTCTTTCTTTTTTTTTTTTTAGAACCACTACAAGCCTTTATTGTAGGGACAATCTGCCTGGCCATCTTCAATAAAAGGATAGGGAGCAATATGGCTGTGACAGGGAGTGTCTTCTATAGGGGCTGGGGGAGGTTTATAGAAGCAGAGGTGGGGTTGAGTCAGGTAGTGGCTAGGGATTGAAAAAGCATGTGACCTTACTAGGAGGGGCTTGTGACATCACTAAGTGGCCTGTGTCATCAGTAGTCACCAGGAGGTAGGGAGTATCAGGTAGAGAGTATCACTCTCTTGGCAGGAAAAGAGGATGATGGGAAGAAGCAGGCTGTTCTTTAGTGTGAGAAACCGTAATATTTAGGTGAGAAGCAGGCCATTATGGGAAGGCAAAGGCAATTCTTTTTATGTAGCAGCCATTTTAAGGCAAGGGAAATCTAACATTCCAGGCTTTTGTTTTATGGTTATTGGGCAAAGGTCTCTTCTGGAGCTGCTTCAAGCTGACAAAGGGGCTAAGGTTGGGGCTAAACCTGGATCTGGTGGGGGCAGTGGTAGGCAGGGGGCTTTTTCCCTCTGACGCAGGGGCCGATACCCCAAATATGGCTGTGTTTCAAAAGTTTATCAGGTTTGGTTCTAAAAGTTCTGGCAGTGAATAGCTAAAATATCCCCGTGGTGTCTTTGAGTAGTTAAAAAAGAGTTTAATATTTGCCAAGCAGGGTAAGACAGCATTTTGTATTTCAGTACTGGTAACAATAGAAGAAAATAAATGAAAACACTGCAAATATTTTTCAGTGATGTTTTTGTGAACTGTAGGTGAAAGGTTTAAGATCGTGATTTTTTGAAGAAAACAAAACCATATGTGGCAGGGGGAGAAAAAGAGAAAGAAAGGGAAAAAAGGAAAGAAACAAAGAAAGCAAACAAAGGAAATAAAGAAAGAGAGAGAGAGAGAGAGAAAGAGGAAGAGAAGGAGGAATGGGGAGAGAGACTTTAGCAGACAGAACAAATCAGATGAAGACGAGTGGAACTATTCAGTGCTGAAGTTAGTGGTTTTGACCCTTACAGTACGTCCAAGGGGTCACTGCGTCACTGAGCACCGCAGTCATTACTGCTCATAATGACACTCCTCAGGAAAAGGTAGGAAGTTATCAGTGCTTTAGGAAGATGTTTCATCTCTGTTGGAGTTGTATGGGTTTTTTTTTTCTTATTATTATTTTGGCTAGAATTTTAGTTCTCATCTAAATCAGAAATCTGGCATTCACCCCTGAATTCTGAAATGTTTCATCTCTGTTGGAGTTGTATGGGTTTTTTTTTCTTCTTCTTATTTTGGCTAGAATTTTAGTTCTCATCTAAATCAGAAATCTGGCATTCACCCCTGAATTCTGCACCTCCCTCCCTGCCCTTGCTTTTTTCCAATCTAGTCCTGCTGGTCTGACTTCCGATATTTCTCTAGCTCATCCTCTCTTTCCCTTCCTTACAGCCACTGCTTCTTATCACCTCTCTTGCTGCCGAAGTCCTCTCTGTCCCTACCTGCTCTCTCCAACCTGTCCCCATCTACCACAGTGAGCAACATCAGAGACCACCTAGGGCTTCCCACTTCACCCCTGTCCAGTCTCCCCATTGTCTACAGGATTAATTTCCTATCCCTTGATCACAGAGGGCTTTCCCTCCCAATATTAGCCCAATATCATGGAGCTATTCACACTTCTTGATCTATTCATTGTGAATGTAGTTTAGAAATGTGGCACCCACCTGGTCCCAGGCACTCTCTCCTTCCTATAACTTAACCCCTTACCTTCCTATATTACCCCCTTTTTATCCTTTAAACTTTAGAAGAGATGTCAGTTCTGACCTCCAGATCAGACACCAGGTCCTGCCATGATGTTCTGTGAAAATCTCACTCACAGCTGGTGACAAACTACATAGAAAAGGTCAGCTTATAGACACACCTCATGCCACCACCACCAACTGTGGGCTCCTCAGGCCAGTAGCTGCACTTATCCTGTCTCTCTCTTTGGTGCTGAGTGTGCCACCCAGAAGGTTGTATATTGTGGATACATTTAATTAGCTGAATTTCTAGACTATTTTCTGCATCTTAAAGAGTCACATACTGTAATATGTCTAGAACACTGCAGTGTGAAAAGTTCTGAATAGCCAGTAGTGGTCACTGTCCTTCACACCACATTGTAAATTACTTCAGCCCACACCTGGACAATTTGAGATTGTGAGACCATCTCTTGCAATCAAGGACTTTCACGGACAGATATTTCATGAGATGTACAGGTCAGGGGACAGGGATATCATTGTTCCAACATATACAACTTCCAGAAATCCTGGGAGTAGAAACATTACCTTGGAAGAGGATTCTAAGAGAATCTTCTAAAATAGAAATTCAGATTACTTGGGAACCAAGCCCCCACCCCTGGCTTTAACTGTGACAAATTCTACAAGATTTTAAAAATATATATCACCTATGTAACACTGAGCAAGAAAATAAGACAAAAGGTTGATGAAATTTTTAAGACCTGTGCTCAATCTAAGAAAAACTAATTCTATTAATTCTATTATTAAAACTGTTCTGAAGCTACAAACATGTCCTAGCCAACTTGAACTGGAGAACACGTTGCCAAGTTAACACATCAGCTATAACAAAAGCCACTCAAATGAATTTTATAGCAACTGCATCAAAAAAATACGGGGCACTTGGCTTCAGTGCTGCAGAATTCTTTCAATCCCTCAGTTTTTCACTGTAAGATGCAACTTGGGTGGCAGCATAACATTCATGGGGTGGAGGACATATAAGCATTGCCATTTATCCAATTTATATTTTAAGTAGAATGTAAAGAAAGGAATGGCAAAAATTTTAAAAGCTACGTTCTACAGATGCATCACCTAATATTAATATTTCAGGATTTCCAGGTTGATTCATTCCATAAACATATTAATGAGAAGCAGGTACAAAATACAATAGTGGTGAAACCTTGTCTTGTCCCTTCTTGCAGCTCACCAGCAGAAAGACTGAATTAACAGGCATTTCTCTTACAGAAGAGTAGTATTTAAGTGGTGAAATTGTCGTGTCCCTTCTTGCAGCTCACCAGCAGAAAGACTGAATTAACAGGCATTTCTCTTACAGAAGAGTAGTATTTACCATCGACTATGAAGGTCTCCATCTCTGCGAACACAGTTTGGTTGAAAGCTGCTCCTTCTTCAGTGCTCTCCAAGAACTCTTCCTCTTTGAGGGTTTCATTACTTTCCATTGCTAAGCTTTATAGGTGGCCAAAGTCCTAGAGCCAGCAAAATTGTTCCCAAAGAGGAACCATTCATTCTCACTTCACTGCTGCAGTTAGTAGTGAACCAAAAGACTTCCTTTTGGCTCTGATTTCTAAATTTGCAAAATGTTTCCTGAAATGATCAGGATTGGGCATTCTCCAAAATCAGGCCTTTCACAAGTGGAGCTCCTGCTTAGTGTAGCTTCTTGGTGTGTGTGGGTGGGTGGGGAATGAGGCCACTTTGTGGCACCCCTGGGAGCTCCTAGGGAAGATGCGTCTTTTGCTCCCTTCTTTCTAACCAAGTTTTGCATTTTTCCCAGACAACAGCTATCCCAAGATCTCCGAAGTCTCCTTCCTCTGATCTCCTTCAATCCTTAGGGTTCATTCTTGCTACTTAGAGTTTGGTCCCTGGACCAAAGGATCAGCATGACACATAGTCTCAGATCTCATCTTGGACAGACTGAACCCCAGTACAGTTTTACAGATCCCCAAGTGATTCCTGTGCATGTGAAAGTCTGAGAAGCATTGGTCTGTGCCACCTGTTTTAGCGTCTGTGGTTCCCCTTGTAGTTTCTCGTGTTCTTTACGTGTGTGTGAATGAGTGTGCACTTGTGTGCTTGCTCCCACCTAGGTGAGAACCATGTCCCTTGCCAGAGGTTGCTCTTTCCCCTCTGTTTCATGTCAGGCATGTATACCGGGGATGCTCTACAGCCTGGTGGTTACAACACAGATGCTAAGAGTTAGGAAGCCTGGTTCAAATTTCACCTCCTCCTTGTAGGAACTGTGTGAGGTAGGCCAGCTATTTGAGCTTTAAGCGCTTCATGCTCCTCATTGGCAAAATAAAGAAGATGTTGAACAGCAGTAATAAATGAATTAAATCATGTAAGCTGGTTGAGTGCGATCTGGTACGTAATCGGCACCACAGCCCCTCAAGACATCATTAACCTGCTGGGTATTGGGGAGATGCCTGGAGGATGCTCCTCATCCTGTAGGAAACTGGGTGGTAGATACAGAGGAATTCCAGAAAGTGGTTGTGCAGTGTAGCACTGACAGACACACCCGAGAGTGTGGAAGTGGCCTGGAGGTGGGAAGGTTGGGTGAGTGCACCACAGAAAATCTCACTATCTGAACCAAAGAGATGGGTACAGGGGGATGACAGGGAATGAGGTGGAGGTCAAGATAAAGCGAGGACCTCTTGGGTAGGAAGATCAGGTAGGCCCCACAGGGATGGGATAGCTGGGAAGGAAACCGTGAGACTTTGGGACTATGGGGACAGAAGGGGTGAGGAGGAGATGGCAAGCCACAGGGTTGGGCCAGGGTAAGTAATTTACTTTGGTTTGTGGCACAGCAGAAAGCAAAAGCAGAACGAAATTCAGGAAAGCATGTCACAGTTAGTACTTGCAAGTCAGAAGTCCTCAGTGGAACCCACAATTTCAACATTGGGGAAGTTGCTGGCTTTGACAGAGGGTAGGAGCAGATGCTGGGATGGAAGAGGTTAAGGTAGGGACTCGGAAGAGGAAGTGAAGACAGCTGGCAGCTCTAGTTAGAGGGCTGGACACGCAGTGGGAGATGATGGAGGTTGCAGGGAGCTCCCCTAGCCAAGGGCCTGCTCCCTTTTGCTCTGGCGCCACCCCTCTGCCTGTGCCTGTCAGCTCAGTGCTAGTCCTCAGATAGAAGAGGACAATTAAAAACACTGTGGTCCAGGTATGTTAATCCATGCCTGTAATTCCAGCACCAAGGCAGGAGTACTGCAAGTTGGAGCCCAGCCTGGGAAATTCAATGTAGCCAGACACTGTCTCAAAATAAACAATTAAAAAATGGGCTGGTATGTAGCTCAGGGTAAAGGTCCTGGGTTCAATGGCCAGTGCTAAAAAAAAAAAAAAAATGCTGTGAGATCATCAGTGACTGTCCTGATCAGAATGCTGAGATCATCAGTGACTGTCCTGATCAGGGAGCATCTGGTGGATATCAAATGCAGTCATTTCAGCTCTGGCTATGGAGCTAGAGAAACCTGGCTCTCAAATTCAAGGCTTTCATGAACTTGCTGTGTAACCTTGGTGGACTTAGTTAACTTCTCTGAACAGTAGCAGAAAGTCCTAACTCATAGAGCAATGATGGCGAACGTTTTAGAGCTTTCCATGATACAAACAGCTTGCTGAGGCATGCTTGCCATAGGTTCGCTGCCACTGTCGTAGAGTACTGTTTTCCAGGATTTATTGTTATGCCAGGCAATGTGCTAGACATTTACATATATCACTTGATACTCACACAACTTGTGACTTGCGTCCATTGTATAGGTAGAAAGGGCTGGCATCAGAAGTTGAATCCAGGACCCCTTGCTTCTATAACCTGTTTTAATTCAGGTTTAATCCGGGCCTCAAATCTTGAGCTTTGCACCAGAAGAGCTTTATGAAGGCACACCCCTCCATCCACCCTGAAACTCTGGTCTTATAAGTCCTCCAGTTAGCTGTACTGTGCAGCCAGTCTGAGGACCACTGAGCAGAACGATGAAGCACTTCCAGGTAGTGGGGAAACCATCCTTGAAGCATCCATTAGTTTTAACCATATGATATTACTGATATTCATCCCTTTTTTGTGTACCATAAATGAATGAATATATAAACCAAGCAGTGCTTGAAACTCGGGGTAGGGACCGGGAGGAGATAAGGGTGTCACTAGCCGTCCGTGAAGAAGACTCAGCCATCAAAATGAACAATATTTTAAAAAGTCAAAGCTGATGCAAATTTATAGAATGTAGAACATATAGACTCATAGGGATAACAAAATGTTAGTACTTTGAATAAAGACAGCATTTGCAGCAACACTGCTGGCTGGCTGGCTCATGTTTTCCTGACCCTCTCATTAGCTCTGGGTTTCAGTGGCCCCATTATAGGGAAAACTGAGTTTACCAGTGTACCCAGAGGTAGTTGTGAGGATTAAAAGATGTAAGCATGTTTGTAAATAAAAAGAGGGGGCTCTGTGTAAAATAGCCATCTTATATCAAGTCAGCATGCAAGGTAAATTTCCTGAGCCATCAATACTGACTTGAAAAGTCCTTTAAATCTTCCATCAAGCACAAAATATGTAATTTAGGAAATATGGTACAATCTCTACCTAAGTTATATTCAGACACTTTTATCTCTGGGAGCATGGATGTAGCTATTTCTTTCCCAGGCAAAGTGGTTGATTTGCACTTGGGGACTAGGTTGTCCAAGAAGAGCGTGGGTTGCCTTTCTTTTACTGGCAGAGTGCATTAAATAGGATTGAAATATTTCAGAGCGTGTTTGGGGAGGCCCCGATGTAGCTATACCAAGTTCTGATGTTCTCCGGCTCATGCTGCTTTGTCACACAGGGTGAATGGGGACCAGGAGACCCCAGGGAGCTGTGACCTCACTCTTAGAAGACTACAGAGCTTGATTTTCTATCAACTGGTGGGCCCAAAACTAGTTCAGTCAGTGGTCACCAAGAAAAAAACCTTAATAAATCTTATTGCAGCTTAAACCCGGGGCAATCATGCCAATGTATCATAGATAAATCACTCCTACCAGTCTAGGGGTCTGAAAAATACACAACTCACAGCAAGCAAGCACAATAAGCCTCCCTGGCTGTTCCTGCATCCCTGCCACCACTCCCTCAGTTTGACCTTTCGTTCTGTCATCTGCCTGACCATCTCACACCAGAGCATCTTGGAAGAGGAGGTTGAGCTGAAGAAAGTGTATAGAAAACAAACGTTAAACATTTCTATTTGTTGGCCTTATTTTTCCTGCCAGTGGGAGTGACAATGGTGGTCATGCAGTGTCCCAGGTCTATGTTAACTCCTGGTGATTAAGAAGGATGAGATTGGTGCTGCAGATGTAGCTCAGTGGTGGGCTGCTTGCCTAGCCTGTGTGAGGCTCTGGGTTCCATCCCCTGCACCACAGAAAGATGAGGGAGGGTGTAAAGAATTAATTTTATAATGATTAATCAGAGTAATTACTTTTTAAAATTAAAAAACTAACCGCACAAGTGACCATCAACAGGTAAACAAATTGTGGTATATCCATCCAATGGAATACTAATCAGCCACAGCAAGATATAAGTCCAAACATGATGAGTCGTGTTGATCAAAAGAAGCAGGCCCTCAAATGGAACATTCTGTATGTTCCCTCTCATATGAGGTTCCAGAACAAGGAGAACTGACCCACAGTGTTGGGAAACAGCTATGTATCTGTGGGTAGAGGAAGGGAGAACTGAGTGCCTTGAAGAACAGAGGAAATTTCTGGGGTGGTGGATATGTTCCAGATCTCGATCGGGGTGCTACAAAAATTCTTTGAATGCTATGCTTAAAATTTTAAAATATGTAAATTATGCCTCAATAAAAACAGAGATTGAAAGAAAGAGATGAATGAATCCTTGTTAGACCTTGGCCAAACACAGAAAGTGGCCCTTTGAGAGCTACTGGAAATGCGAGGGTGGCAGGATAGACTGGCTGCTATGCCATCATTTGCTTGTGATAGGGAATCGGGCACATGCTGGAGTTGCTGGGTGAGGAACGAAGCCTGTGCTCTGAGAACACAGGGAAGAAAATGGAAGCAAACTGGCCCTGTGCTCCTGACTGGGGCCCACACAAGGCAAAGGCGGAGAAGGTAGCTGTCTTTCTGCTCTGATTTCAGGGACACAAATTCTCCTGATTCTGGACAGCATGTTGTTCCTCCCTGGTTCTTTTGGTGTTCTCTCTGGGGTACTAAACATTTCATTCCACCAATTAGGAAGAAGATGTAAAAAGGCATTACCAAATAGGCGAGGAAATAGAGACCTACACTGGTGTGTAAATAACAATATTGTCCCTTTCTCAGAGAAGGTATTCAAGATTGGAAGGGCTAGGGATTTAGCTCAGAGGTTTGGAGGCCTACCTTGCAAGCAAAGGACCCGAGTTCAATCCCCAGTGCCAAAAAAATAAAAATAAAAAATAAACAAAATAAATAAATAAAATAAAAACATTGGAGAAGATGTGGGGCTCAGATA